GTCGTCGGCTATCGAACAGCCGCACCGACGCGCCGCCGCCGCCCCGCTGGGCGGCGCTCTCGCCGGACGCCAAACAGTCCAGCTCCTGGTCGCCCACCGGCGGCTCCATGTCGGTAACGAGCCACCACACGCCCGCGGGCCCGAAACAAAAGGACAGCGACATGCACGCGTGGCTGCGCTATCCCCTATAGTGGTACGGGGAGCGCGCTGGCGCTGGCGGAGGTCTGGGTCAGGCTGGGCAGCGGCGTGCGGCAGCATGGACGCGGAGGGATTGTTGGCGTCGGCAGCGATCAACATGGGGACGGAGCTGGTGGCGCGGATGGCAGGGGTCGGCGGTGCCTGCGGCGGCGTGCTGCTGCCTGCTGCTCGGCACGGGACGGTTTACCCCTTCGTTCTGGTGGATCCGCGCCGCCTTCCGGCTCTCCGACGAGGAAGTGTTGCGGCGACACGGCCTCGACGCTCTCGTCGTTCAAGTGCGTCCGTCCGCTACGAGCCGGCTCCTCGCCAGATGACTCCGCTTCCCTGATTCACTGTTGGATTTCGTGTCGCACTCCACGAGCTGCTGCTCGGACAGAGACGTGAGGTTCTTACGGCTGCCTGAAATCTCCATCTTAATTTTGCTGCCTGAAATCTCCATCTTAATTTTGCTTCAATCAAACACATGAACATTCAGGCTGTTGACCAAATTGTAGTAAGATAAGCAGCTGAGTACATACTAAATTGCACTAAGATGAGCAGCTACATACCAAACACATGAAAAATCGAAAGTGCTTTTGTCCGTTGACGGAGTACTCCGTACTAACCACTAGTATTACAGGCTGTTGACCAAATTGCAGTAAGGGCATGTACAATGATGCTATCTTAGGAGTGCCATGTAGGATAAATGATGAGGTGAAGGAGAGAGAACTCATAAGAAAAGGTTTGTCTTCTCTTATTTAAGATAAGATAAGAGATGATATCTTAGCACAATATGTGTCACCACGTTTTTAGGAATAATTAGTTATGAAGATAAGGCTAAGAAATGACCCATTGTAGACATCTTTTTTTGTCATCTTTTAATTACATGCAAGACTTAAAATAAGACTATTTTATCAACCATTGTACATGCCCTAAGATGAGCAGCTACATACTAAAAAATCCCATGAAAATTCAGTTCGAAACAATGAAATTCCATCATCATCATCAAAAAAGAGAAGAAAAAAGCTTGTACTTGTAGCAATGGAGTCGAGTAGGACTTACTGGTGAAAGCGATGTTGGTGAGACTGCCGCGTAGTCATGGATGAGGAGCTTCTCGTCGGCGCCCCAGTAAACCTGGACTGCGACCACTACATGCACAACTCGGCGGCGCTCCGCGAAGGGATGTGCTACATGCTTGAGCACATCCTCGCAGATCATGAAGCTGCAGTCACAGGGCGGGTGGCCGCCGCCAACGCCGGCATGTCGCAGCCGCGCATCTTGCAGGACATGTTTGACGGAGGCGGCCGACCGAGCGCCGTCGGCGGAGTTGCTGAGCACATGGGCGCGCGTCGCGCAGTTGAGGCCGCCGGTGAAGATGGTGCCGGAGACGTAGCTCCTCTCCGGCAGCACCTCCCCCTCCTTCTTAGCTGCGGGCGCGTCCGTGACGCGGACGTCGTGGTCCTGTCCGGCGTGGGCGAGATGTGCACCGTGCAGTGCGACCCCGGAGGCGGCGGCGGACGCGGTGGCGCTGGCGGTGAAGTTGGAGGAGGAGGACGACGAGGCCCTGGCGGTGGCGGGGGAGGGGGAAGGGGGGCTGGAGGTGGTGGTGCCGATCGGGGCGCAGAAGCACGACCCGGCGTGGAAGCACTGCCTCATGGTGCGCCTCGCCGGCCGGGACCGCCTCAAGTGCGTCTACTACGGCAAGCACTTCCTCGGCGGCGGCATCCACCGCTTCAAGGAGCACCTCGCGCGCCGCCCCGGCAACGCCTGTTGCTGCCCCGACGTCCCCGCCGACGTCGAGGCCCTCATGCACCGCAGCCTTGACGAGGTCGCCGCCAAGAAGCTGCGCAAGCGCGCCCTCGCCGTCGCTTCCTCCCCCGCCGCCTTGCCGCCGGCCTCCTCGCCATCCCCCTCCCCCTCCACCTCCAACGGCGACTTGGCCAGCCCCATCCACGTCGTCCTGCTCAACCAGGCCCCGCGCGCCGCCGAGGAGACACCTCCCATGGGGACGGGGTCGGGGTGGACGGAGAAGGACGGTGTGTCTGTCTCTCTGTGTGCGTGGGAGCGGGCGGGCGGGCAGCTGCTGGTGGCGATGCATTCGGGGTAGGAGCGCGAAAGGAGAGGCGCAACTTTTCGCAAACCCCCCCAGATGCAGTAGTATTAACCCACGCTCGACCAGTGGCGGTCAAAGCCTAGCTGGCGCCCGCTGACTCGGCCAAGTCAGCGAATACGTACATGAAAACGTAGATACGAACTAAAGCGAACCCTCTACGCAAGTACATGGACTGTAGTTCGGGTATTTTGAAATAGTGGTACTAAAGTGTCAGCCAGCTCAAGTTTTGTGACCTATGATGAATTTTTCTCTATCGTTAGACTAGCCATAATGGGTAGTAACATAAAGTAGTAACATGCTCATGTTACTACTCTATGTTACTACCTCTACAGTGGGGAGTAACATATGTATGGTAACATGTAACACTTTATTTATTAGGCTATAGACTCATTTTGCCTTGATATGTGTGATGTTACTCATACTAGTAGTAACTAGCTATGTTACCACATGTCTCTTTTTCTTTATTTATTGCTTGTCACATCATTTTTTTTATCTAGATATGTGTGATGTTACTATCTATATTACTCCCATTGTGGGGTAGTCTTAGGGCTCTACAGAACCCATCCGATTTTTTTCTGGAGGTAATCTCCCACGTTCATTAATAAATTAAAAAACAGGTTTGCTATTTCACATCTAGATGTGAAATAGTTATCTCACATCTAACTCTAAAACCGTTGGATC